GGAAACTGGAGCACTGGCAGGAAACCCACGCGGACACGAAGAGAATGTGCAAGCTCCACACAGACAGTTGCCCAATGCTGTGTGGCAGCAGTGCTAACCACTGCGCCTACACGTCACCCTTTAGTTCTTATGTAAATGACAAAAAACAGTATTCTACTGGATGCAAGGGAAAATGTATTGATTGTTTCAGAGCATGGTGCTGTGATGAAGAAAATTCTTCGACCTCCCTCCATTCAACTTTGGGGCACAGCAGGAATCAAAGCCTGAGTGAGGGGGCGGAATATGTGCTACACATCTTTTCATTGAAAGAGAGATCACAGAGACCCTGTCCATCATTCCTAACCACTATTCACCTTGTTTTCATTCTTACATGGGATGTAGGTGTTACTGAGAAGGCCAGCTTTTGTACCCCATCCTTAATTGAAATACTCCAGAGAGCCATTCTGTTCAAGAAGGCAGTCAACAGTCAACCACATGGCTGAGAGTCTGGAGTCACATGTAGGCCAGACCAGGTAAGGGCAGCAGACTTCCTTCCCTTAAGGACATTAGTGAACCAGATGGGGTTTTACAAATGGACATTGGCCACCGTTCAGTGAGCTTCCTTAGCTCCAGGTTTTACTGTCTGTCATGGTGTGCTTTAAATCCATAGACCCCAGAGAATTAGCCTGTGGCACTGGATTGCTAGCCTAATGACATTGCTACTGTCCAAGCAACTCCTAAGATGAGCAGAGTTGTCGAATTGAATTGAATTATCTTTTTTGTCACATGTACTTACAGGAGTGCAGTGAAAAATTTACAAGTTGCCAGCTACAGTGCCATCTTAGGTATAAGGTACCTTGGTACAGAATCTTCAGTACAAGTTCTTGGGGGAAAAAAAATGTGAAAGATAAAGAAACAAGAAGTCCAGCATTGCAGATTGTAGGAATAAATTAGAAAAGAGAGAAATAAAATGCTCAGAATGACAGTCCTTCCAACCCAGTCCATGCTGGCATCTAACCTCCAGTTCGCACCAGGCCTTGACTCCAGATCGTGCCAGGCTTCACTTCAAGGCCCTTGAGGCTGGGACACTGCTCTAGAATCAGCTCAAGGGTGGAAATCGACACTGAGGCCATGCCGGGCCAACAGATCACATGCCAGGCTGAGAGACCACTGTGCTGGGCTGGGAGTTGTGTGTGTAGCTTTAAGTATTAGCAGACAGTGGAGAGATTGAGATCAATTCAACGCAACAGGAATCACTCTTCAGCATTGATGCTCTAGCTGCGGGGCTGTAAAAAGGAAATGCAGACATTCCATTTCTCTCAAGGAGAAGCCACATGTGGCAGGGTTAATAGGTGCCAAAGGAGATGACCAGCCACTGAGTTCATTCCACCTGTTGGTTTTCTCTGTCAGGAAACAGTCACAGAGACTCAGGCTGAGTCCTTGGATCTTCCTGTACTCTCACTTCGGTTGGCTCTGTTTCCAAAGTCCTTGTTACCCAAAAGGAATCCTTAACCTTCTCCCTGGTATTTGTCCCTTGTGTGACAGGCAAAAGACAGGGAGTCGATTCAAAATTAAATTAAACAAACCCTTCTTTATTTAACTCTTTAGGTATCAGTATGAAACATATTCGTTGCAACATCTGCTTCTTGATTCAACCATCTTAACACAACTTTAACTGACTTCACTTTAACTTAATTCACATTGAACTCTAATTCAATAAAGCTTGGCTTGAGACTATTACCAAACTGACTGGAGTGAAGTGGCCAACTTTCACTCTCTGTGTAGATCTTGCCTCATGCTTCTTTGTTACTCTGAAGATGACTTCAGGGCACTTACATTGCGAAAGTGGGTCTCGAGTGCTTGCTAAGGAAAACTTCTTTGCCCTGTAAACTTTAACCCAAAGCTTGCTCACTCTTCCAGAAACTTCTGTGGTGCTCAGCCAATGAATTGACAGAAACCTGATCACAATGTTCGATCCCAGCCAATGAGGTTTACTCCCAAATGTTAATGAACAAAAACAGAAGTTGCTGATGAAGGGTCTAGGCCCGAAACGTCAGCCTCTCTGCTCCTATGATGCTGCTTGGCCTGCTGTGTTCATCCAGCCCTGCACCTTGTTGCTGGGAAAGCTCAGCAGTCTGGCAACATTTGTGAAGAAAAAAAAAATCAGAGTTAATGGTTTGGATCCGGTGACACTTCCTCAGAACAAATGTTTATAACAAGTTGCAAGCTGTCACATACCACGCTCCGTAGAAGGTAATAAAGTGCCAGTGTGTCTTGCAGACCACCATGACACCTCCCTTATTTGGTCAAAGCAGGAAACTGCAGATCACAGCTTAAGTACAAGGCACACCAAATTTAACCTGTGTCAGCACTTAAATTAGCTTGACTAAAGTTTCCAGCATGCTTGGTTGTAGCTCTTAATGAGCCATTTTTGCTACTGGCCACCTGACCACATCCCCATTTGTCTATTTTGAGGTGAATGTTCCTTTTCTTGAAGCAGCAGTAAAGTTGTTTACTTACTGCATGGAATCTACCAAAGAGAGATAACACAACAACAACTCCGAATGAAGTTGATGAAGGAGTTTCTTGCAGCGTAGGAAGTGAGACCATGGGAGACAAGTGGGAACAAAACTTCATGCTGGTTCAATCATCAATAAAGCTTCAATTAATCCTGCAGCTAACGAAGTGGGCACAATATCTGAGATCTCTTGGATTATGGAGTTAGAGACAGATCTTCAATTACAAGAAAGACGTCTCACAGCTATGATGTAGATTCATGAACATAGAAGCTTCGAGCAGAGTGGAGAATAAAACTGACCTGCATTAAAACAAGCCAACCCCACCTTCACAATCATAGGCAGAAAGCATTAATATGGCTTTATATTTTTAGAGAACTACTTCAAACTTCGGGAAAGACCCATCAAGAAGAAATCAACAAATACAAGGAGAGAGCTAAACAAGGTAAATGATATGCTCAAGTCCAAATCTGGATTATGCAAATAGTCAACATTTAGAAAAGTTGACTGAAACTGAACAGCAGACTGACAGCTGGGCTGTAATGAAGCCATTGCATTAACAGGTCATTCACTCACTTGAGATTTTTGTTGTAAAACAGTCAAAAACTGGGTGAACGCTCTGTCAAGTTTCGAAGGTACACAATGCCCTTTTTGGGGATTAGATTTGTGTATCTGTAGGAGATTGATTTGACCTATTTTTAAAAATTGAAGCAGGCTGATCACCTGAAACAGCCTGCTGGTCACAAAAGCCCAGCTGGCTGTGCTCACAGTATGCATCAAGCCTCGGACACTTAACAAAAAGAGTTTACAGCAGAATTTCATAGTTTTCTGACAGAGACGGTCAATGTTCTCATGGAATTGATGCCACAAAGAGACACGTTGATGGATGACATGGAAATGTTCAGATTTGTAAAATTGCTGTAAGCCATTATCTGAGGGAAGCTTTCACCTCCCTTAAAGATGGATAATAATGACATTCTTGAGAAAAAGAACAAAAACAAACTCCTTTACATTTGCAAGAAATAGTCAGAGTCATACAGCGTGGAAACAGACTCTTCGGTCCAAACCATCTGTGCCAACCAGAACATCCTAAACTGACCTAGTCCCATTTGTCCAACATTTGCCTCATATCCCTTTAAACCCTTCCTATTCATGTCCCCATCTAAATGTCTTTTAAATGTTGTAATAGTATCAGCCTCCACCACTTCCTCTGGCAGCTCATTCCATACACACACCACCCTCTGTGTGAAACAGTAATGATCAGAGATATACAAACCCTTGTTAGAGATGGAAATTGCCCACAGGAGGAGGATAGTCTTTTGAAAAACAGACGCCTTAGAAACAGGAGGATGTAACCCAACTGTGCAGGCTACGTTGCTATGCAGGAACTTCTAATAGACACTGATCCTGCCACATGATAATACACTTGTACTTTTTGTTGGAGTTCTGGCTGTTTTCTGCAGAGAAACTGCTGTCTCACACCACCCATACTCAACCTTCCTGAGAATGAGAAGGGAACTGGGGTATGTCCTCCAAAACTGCTGATAATCCTACTGGAGGTGAATAAATAAAGTCAAACAGACTTGTGGCTGGGAGTGGAAGTCAGAGTGAAGAGTTAAAGTTAATGGATAAATGTTAATAGTTAAAGTGGAGTACCATCAAAGAACTGGAGATGCAGTGTGAAGCATTAATTATTCTCTTAATCCAAGTATAACTACTGAGCATGTGCAAAATGAAATCATCATATAGTGACAACAGATCACATGGAATTTAAGCCAGAGTCTGTAACACTGTCCTCATTAATGCGCTTTCTAATTTTTCATTCATTCGTGGGGCATCTCTAGTTGCTTTCTTGAACTGTTGCATCCACAGTGCCTTTAGGCAGGGAATTCCAGGATTTTGACGCAGGAACGGTGATATATTTCCAAGTCAGGATGGTGAGTGGCTTGGAGGGGAACTCGCAGGTGGAGATGTTACCATGAATCTGCTGCCCTTGTTGTTCTAGATGATGGCAGTTACGGATTTGGAGGTGCTAATAAGGAGCATTGGTGAGTTTCTGATGTATGTCTTGTAGGTGGTTAACACTTGTGCTATGGAGCATCGGTTGTGGAGGGGTTGGATATGGTGCCAATCAAGCGGGCTGCTTTGTCGTGGATGGTGTCAAGATTTTTGAGAGCTGTTGGAATTTTCCACTATACTTCTGACTTGTGCCTTGTACATGGATGACAGGCTTTGGAAAGTCAAGGCGTGAGTTACAATGCCTTGTAAATAGTTATGACAGATTAAGTCTGCTATTTTTTATTCAGATAAGTGAAGGCTTTAAATTACTAAGGCAGCTGAACATATGGATATCAAAGGACGGACAATAAAAATTGGGGATGAGTAACAATGCTCAGAAGGAATGGAAACTGTTGGTCCACAGAAACAAAAGAAAGCAGTATAATGCACACTTTTTTTTAAAAACAAAGTTTATTGAATTCACCAATAATTCTAAAGCTTGCTTCTGTCCAACTGACACATTCAAAGTACAAAATACTTCTGTATATCAGGACCTACTGTTAAAATCACTAGTATAGCACAACAGTAAACTTCACTAAATCAGGCATATTAATCTTCACAATTAATAACAACGTTACTCTGGAAACAATCACTAGAAGTGCTGTTTAGAGCCATCTTGTTAGGAAAGTTCTATTTACATGCAGCCATGTTTTGTTTTTCAATGTGGGTTTCTACAAGGATACCTGTGTTCTCCAACATGAGTTTCCAGACTCTCAACATAACGGAGTTAACTTTAACTCAATTCAGGCCTTTGTTGTCTCTGCATTGTCTGATGGTGTCCTGTGCTGAGCTGATAGCGGTCATCGATACTGTGGACAATCTGCAGCGAGGTAAGCTCCAATATGCCACCTCATGCAGCCTGTCACTGCATATCTTGGATGGTCAGACCCAGGGTTGGACCTCAACTGCCCCAGCTTCTCAGGGAACCTTCTAGAACGATTGGCCTCATTGCCGTAGTGTAAATTCCTTCTAGATCTCTCTGGGTTAACTCTAGCTTCTAATGAGCTGACTCGACTAGTCCTTAAACCAAAACTGACCAAAGATGACCATGGGTCATGAAACATTAAACTTATTTTCAGATTCTGTGTTGAGTAAACATTTTGGTGTAGCTTTCAGAACAAACCAATAACATTCCTTAAAATGCCTCTTTATACATTTCTAATCCTGGTCATTAAAAGGTCCATGGGTAATTGTAACAGCATAAACAGTCTAACAACTAAAACAAAACTATTGTAATTCTGGGGTTCTCATTCAGTCCTGGAGACATCAATACCTAATTGCTTCACTTTCCAGATTCATCAGTTACCTCGGGGCTGGATCCTTGTTTTCCATCTTCCCCAATCTCCAACAGGGGGAGGGTACAATAGATATCACTTGCAGAACAGGCTAAAAGGGCTGAATGGTCTCCCTCAGTTGCTACACCCCTCTGGGACGGCCCGGACTCCAACCCCTCTGGGACGGCCTGGACTCCGGTGTGAATCTTAGCAGGGGAAGTGGGTATTCAAAGGGTGTGACATCTATTGGACTGTCTTCAGCAAATGGCTGGGAATTGGTTCGATTTAATCAGGAGTGTGATTATGAGGCAGAGTGCTGGCCCAGGGAGCAGCCTTGGCCAATCCAGGACCATTGAACTACGATGTGCAACCTCCAGTGAGAGTGTAATGAAAATATGCTACAGAGAACATCAATTATCATCCAGTTCCAGTTGGTTTAGCTATGAAGATGGACTTGTATATCTTATTAATATATTGCATTCCTGTATATTGCTTGCATTTCAAAACTTGACCGCACATGTCCTGCATATTGACTTAATAGTCTGTTTGTATTATCACAGCGGTTTCATATTCTCCCAAACATATGTTGGGATTAACTCAATCTTTCTTCGATTTTAAAACAGTAAACTGGAAATACTGAGCAGATCTGGGAGCATCAAAAGCAGAGCTAATATTAATGATCTTTCATCAAAACTTCAGAGTTTAAATGACCTGACAGGTTAACTCTGTTTCTCTCTCCACGGGTGCTACCAGGCTGACTGAGTTTCTCCAGCAACTGATTTTTTTTATTTCAGATTTCCAGCACCTGCAGTATTTTACTCTTTGTCATTTCTTTCTTAGCACAATTGTAGCTGCTGCTTTTTCTGGCAAGTGATGTGGGATCACTTTGCTAGCCTGCTTACAATCATTAGCCATGTCAATGAAAAGATTATAGCACCCAGCTATCTTGTATACAATGAAAATATGTGCAAGTTCATGCCAACACAAAGGTTGGTACCATTTGGCACTGGTATACAGAAGTTATTACTGTCCATGACTTCTACAAAGTACAATGCCTGGCTCAGAATGCCAACCAACATGTTAAACAGCCACAAGCAACAGATTACACCATCAGGTCAACCACAAAAGACACAAATCTCACTTCTTGCTTCTTTAACCATTGACCAATTTAAAACCACAACGTAATTACAAGACTACAATTCCAAAAGTCTGGAATAATAAGAACACAAGAAACATGCGAGTTGAAATGGCCCATTTGTCTCGGTCTCTGAAATAATAACTTTGCCCTGAAGTGCTGCGGGACCTCTTGAGGGCAGGAAAGGTGCGAGAAAATTCAATTCCTTCTTTCTTTTTCTTAACAATATCTGAAAATGTCATATGAAGGGTCTTGGAAATTTAGACCTAGATCTGTATTCCCAGCTGTTCTGAGTCAAGAAAACGCCCCAAACTGCAAATGAAATCGGCTTTGAAGACCAGAATTGACCTGCGGACTGAAAAGGCTTGAAAACAAGAGATATCCATGGAAAGGTTGTTTTATTGCTCCCGGCTTGTTCAATGTGGGGATAAGGGATAACCAACTCACAAGAGTTAAGTGCTGTAGGGAGTCGGTATCCTGACTGTTTCAGTAAGAGAATGCCCCCTGCAAAATAGTCCTGGTCAGTCTTTGAATCTCCTGTTGGCTTGAAGTTTCTTGTAGTAAGCCTCCTGGTCGCTGTCTGTACTGGTTTCCCGCTCAGCCAGGAAAGCTGGGTTGGGTTTTCTCCTTAAGGTCGAGTCCCCGCTGGAGCCCATGGTCAGGCTCTCTGAATTGGTTTCGCTCCTCTCAGCTGTGGCCACATTGATTGTGGCGACACTGCAGAAGCGAGTGTCTTCGTGTTCCAGGTCACTGGCTGAGGATCCAGGTGACATTCCTCCGGCGCTGCTCCCGCTCTTGGAGGGCCTGTAGCCCCGGTAGTCCCTGTTCAGGTCATTCAGCTCGTAGGCCTCACCGGCCTGGGGCGACTTCCACTCCCAGGGCCCAGTACCGCCATTTACAGAGGAGACGTGCACCACTGGGTGTGAGCCATGGGCATCTACTGTCACAATGCTGGCCGAGTCCCGCTCTGAGGGCGACTTGTACTGCGAAGACTCGGAGCTGCTGGAAGCCTCTGAGTGCCTTGGTGTGACCGTGACCGTGCTCTGTTGCTTGGACATGGCGATGACCTGCATGATGCGGGGCTGGGGCTGGGCCTGGGCCTGGGCTTGGGCTTGGGCCCGTGGAACCCCTCCCTTCTCCGCCAACAGCATCCACTTGGCCCGGGCTGAGTTACTCTTTGGCGAGGTGCTGACGCTCGCCTGGCTCTCCTCGGGGATGTGAACCAGCTGCGAGGTGCCGGCTCTGGACTGGATCAGGACCCGTGCCCCACCCCCTGCGCCTCTCTCGCAGACCCTGGCCTGCACTGTAGGGTAGAGGGAAGACGGTGCCACTTCCTCCTGATCGAAGCCTGCGGCCCTCAGCTCCATAGCGGCCCTCATCTGCGGCTGCGACTGACTGATGTTTGGGTCATGGTCCAAGGCCAAGCCATCCATGGGTCTCTGCCTCCACTGCGAGATGAGCTGCTTGGAGCGAGAGGCATCCATGGAGACGTGGATGGTCATGTGTCGGCGCGCAGCCTCATCCAGGTTCGGTGTGTTGACACGTGGCAGCGTGTTGCTGAAGGTCACCATGTTCTCCTTGCCCATCGGGCTGCGCGGTGCCAACAGCTCCACGTCGACACTGGCCCGTTTCAGGCTGTTCAGGGAATTCTTCTCCCTCTGTGCCAGATGCTGCTCCAGGCCTTCAAGCCTCGGCTGTGGGTTCAGCTCATCTGTGCTCAGGGACTTACTCTGCTGGTAGACTGAGTCATGGCGGAGATGAGTCAGAGGCCTAAGGCCGCTCTTGGGAGAAGGTTTCACTGGGGTGGTATCATCTGATGCCTTGAAGTTCCCCACAGCATGAAACCCCTGTGAAAATATATACACCAGAGAAAAATAGGACAGTGTTATTCAATTTGTAGCTGATCGTGCTTCAACTTTGAAATTAAAGAACATTTGTGTTGAAGATGAAAAGCTATCTGGGGGAGGTGATGACCTAGTGGTATAAACACCGGACTGTTATTCCCGAGACCCAGATAATGTTTTGGGGACCCAGGCTCAAATCCTGCCATGGCACACGGTGGCATTTGAATTCAATAAAGAATCTAGAGTTATGAGTCTAATGATGACCATGAATCCATTGCCAGTAATTGGGAGGAAATCCCATCGGGTTCACTAATGTCCTTTAGAGAAGGAAACTGCTAGTCTGGCCTACATGTGACTCTTAACTGTCCTCTGGGCAATTAGGGATGGGCACTAAATGCTGGCCTAGCCAGCAACACCCACATCCTGTAAATGAATAAAGGAAAAAAAAAAATTTGGAATTGGAAAATAAAATGAATTATAACTGTGGGTCCCAGGGAATTAAACAACAAGAAAGAACTGTGGATGCTGGAAATCAGAAACAAAAGCAGAAATTGCCAGGAAAATGTCTTCTGAGGAAGGGTCACTGGACCTAAAGCGTTAACTCTGATTTCTCTCCACAGATGCTGCCAGACCTGCTGAGCTTTTCCAGCAATTTCTACTTTTGTAAGCTCATTCTTTACAAGCTTGGATCTGACTTCACTTCAAAGGAATCTGGCCCGGAATTTTCTCATATTTTTCTGTCTCTGCTCCATCATGATCTCATTAAGTGGAATGCCCTCCCTCACTGAAAAGGGTCTTAATCTTAAACTCTTCAATGCAGCAGACCTGCATTCCTCAACAGAAGTGTGGTACAGGATCCCACAATAATGGTCTTATATTGAATTTACAGATCATTTAGCTGTAATGGTCTGTGCACCTCACTGAATCTAACACTATCAGCATATCCTCCTCTTAGTGACATGAGACATGAGCTGCTTCTTCCAATTACCTTAAAAAGGTATAAATAACCAAGAATGTGTTGCAAAACCTGGCTTCTGCACTGAGTGTGAAAGGTTCGAGGGACAAAGTGATAAAATCATAGAATCACTGGAGTGTGGAAGCAGATTGAGACCACACTAACTCTCCGAAGAGTATCCCACTTAGACCCACCCACACCCATAACCCTGCAATTCCCACAGCTAATCCACCTAGCCTGCATATCCCCAGACACTACAGGCAATTTAGCATGGCCAATCCACCTCGCCTGCCCATCTTTGGGCTGTGGGAGGAAACCGGACCACCCGGAGGAAACCCATGCAAGACGCGGGGAGAATGTGCAAATTCCACACAGACAATGGGTGGAAACGAACCTGGGTCACTGGCACTGTGAGGCAGCGGTGCTAACCACTGAGCTACTGTGCTGCCGCATTTCAAAAATGTTTGCTCACTTGAGGCATTCAAGAGGGAATTGGATGATTATTTAGATAAGAATAATCTGGAAGGGTCTGGGGAAAAAGCAGAATATTCTCACTCGGTAATGATGCATATTTAAGGAGCTGGTACAGGCACAATGGGCCGACTGGCCTGCTGCACTGTAACACTGGTAATTCTGAAAGTGATAAAATGGTTTAATAGGGTAAATGCAGAGAAATGAATTCCCCAGTGAAGCGAGTCCAGAATTAAAGGGGTCTCTGATTTTACAACTGGAGATACACAATTTGGGAATGAAATCAGAATGTTCTTTGTCATACCAAATTTTGGAAATCTGGAATTCTCATTTTTAAAAAGGAGGTAGACAGTTTTTTAATTAGTAATGGGTTGACAGATTATGGGAAGATACTTTAGAGACATTTAAGCGACTCTTGGATAGGCACATGGAGGATAGTAAAATGTAGGGTATGCAGGATAGATTGATCTTAGTAGGATAATAGGTTGGCACAGCATGATGGGCCGAAGGGCCTGTACTGTTCTATGAAGTGGGCAGGAAAGTGGAGTTGGGGCTAGGATGAGATCAGCCATAATCGAATTAAATGGTGGAGCAGGCTTGGGGAGCTGAACTGCCTGCTCCTGGTTCTTATGTAAAATACCGTGGATGTAGATGGCTCATTGAAACCTTCCATAGCCATAAGAAATAGGAACATTCTTGGCCTCTCGAGCCTGTCTGCCATTCAATATGATCATAGCTGAGCCAACATTCCTAACGTCCACTTTCGCACATTTTCCCTGTAACCCTTGATTCCCCAACTGATCAAGAATCTATCTATCTATCGCAGCCTTGAATATACATAAAAACTCTGTCCCCATAGCTCTCTGTGGCAACGAGTTCTAAAGACTCAAACATCAGAAAGAAATTCCTCCTCATCTCAGTTAAATTGGCACCCCCTTATTCTGAGACTGTGGCCTCTGGTTTGGACTCTCCCAAGAGGGGAAACATCCTCTCGCCATTTGTTCAGTCCAGGCCTTTAAGAATCCTGAATGCTTTCAATCAGGTCACTTCTCATTCTTCTAAATTCCTGTGAGTAGAGTCACAACCTGCCTAGCCCTTTGGTCATAAGACAATCGCTCTATTACCAGGGATCATCCTAGTGAACCTTCTCCAAACCACCTGCAATGAAGTAATATCTTTCCTTAAATAAGGTGACCAAGACTGCTCGCAGTGCTCCAGATGTGATCTCACCAGCATCTTGCAGTGAGACTTCCCAACTTTTACCAATCTCAAAGACAGAGATTGTTGGATCTTTATTAAGTAAGTTCAGTGAGGGATATACAATAAAGATGGGGATATAGTTAAAATACAGATCAACCATGATCTATCTAATGGTGGTATAGGCTCAAGGGAACTGTAAAACATTCTAATCTGTAAACATTTTAATAAATGTCACCACACACGTGCACTTTTTGAGCAGTGACCCAGATTCGCATTCAAAAGGCAATGTCCTCACATATAAAACTTCACATTTCATGATTTCACAGATACAGTGGTGTTGGAATGAGGTTTTAGGTCTCTCAGTGATAATATTTACTGCGGCAATACCCTCAAATAACATTTTCAGCAAGACTAGCGAAAGAATAGAAGGCACAGATCAAAACTTGGTTCGGTAAACCAGAATATTGATGGAACATTTTCTAAGTTATAATTATCCCAGAAGTTTCATTGTTTGTCTAATCCCAGTATACAATTAATGCCTCTAGCCAACAGTGTGGTAAAGATCTCCATAGAAACTAACTGGCAGAGGTTGCAGTGGGCAACAAATGAATTATTTCACCACTCGGTGTATTTTTGGCAGTGCACCTCCGAACATGTGACTTTTGTTGGTCTTGACTGGTGATTTGTTTGGCTTTTGCTATCAGGCTTCACTGAATGGTAAAAGAAACTCAGGAGAAGTCATGGCACGGTGGCTCAGTGGTTAGCACTGCTGCCTCACAGCGCCAGGGACCTGGATTCGATTCCACCTTCGGGTGACTGTCTGTGTGGAGTTTGCACGTTCTCCCCATGTCTGCATGGGTTTCCTCCGGGTGCTTCGGTTTCCTCCCACAGTCCAAAAGATGTGCAGCTTAGGTGGATTGGCCATGCTAGATTGCCTATTGTATCCAGGGATGCATAGGCTAGGTGAGTTAGCCATGGGAAATGTGGGGTTGCAGGGATAATGTGGGAGGCTGAGTCTGGGTGGGATGGCCTTTGGAAGGTCAGTGTGGACTCAATGGGCCGAATAGCCTGCTTCCACACTGTAGGGATTCTATAACTGCATCAATATTCCAGTTGTAGGCTTACCAGCATCTTATACAGTTTCATCATTACATGCCTATATTTGTATTCTATACCTCTGCCAATAAAGGAGATCATTCCATATGCCTTCTTTACAACCTTATCTACCTGTACTGCTACCTTTAGGGACCTGTGCACTTGCATGCCAAGATCTCTCCCTTCATCCACCTCATTCAATATATTCCTGTTTATTTTGCATTCCCCTTTACTTTTTGACCTCCCTAACTGCATTACCTCACAATTGTCAGAGTTGAACTCCATCTACCACTTTCCTGACCAGTTCATCAACCTACGTACATCATTTTGGAGCTTACAGCTATCCTCTACAGTATCCACTGCCTGGCCAATTTTTGTGTCATCTGCAAAGTTCCCAATTGTGACCCCACGCTCAAGTCCAGATTGCTAATGTATAAAACAAACAGCAGGGGTTCCAATACCGAGCCCAATGGAACACCACTTGAAACAGCTTTCCGTTTGCAAGGGCAGCCATCAACAATTACCCTTTGTTTCTTATTACTAAGCCAACTTGGGGAAGATTTGACAGGCTAGATGTTGAAAGGCTGTTTCCCCTTGTGGTAAAGACAAGAAATAGGTGGTACAGTTTGAAAATAAGGGGTCCGCTACTTAAGGTGGAGGTAAAGTTACATTTTTTTCTCTCAATGTCATGAGTCTTTGTAACTCTGTTCCTGAGAGGCAGAGGGAGATGGTTTCTTGACTTACAAGGGAACAGAGGTCATTCAGAGTGTGGCAGGAATGTGGAGTAGAGGCCACATGCAGAGCAGCCATGGTCTTATGGAATGGTAGAACAGACTTGAAGGGCTGAATGGCTTACTCCAGTTCCTAAATCATACGTTTGTATTCCAATAGTCTCCCTCTCTTTCTTTGGTCACCTTTCAATATCTGTAAACTTCAACTCTTTGATGATTCCACTATCCATGTCCTAGCAAAATGCAGGAAATGTCAGATCCATCATCTTATTAATCTACATTGACTCTTGTTCCAGCAAGAACTCTATTTTCAAATTCCCATCCATGGTTCCAAATCTTTCCAAAATCAGACACCCTCCAGTAAATAACTGAGCAACCACAGCCCTTTCAGGAAGGGAATTCCAGAGTCAAGGCCTCAGGGTAGAAATTCTCTACTGTTTCACTTCTAAGCGGCTGATGTCTTTATCCTGTGTCTACGACCCAAGGTTTTCTTTTTCTTTCCAGCAGAAACAGCATCAAGACATTAACAAATTTTTATTTTTCTACGAAGC